TACTTTGCCGCGCCGACAATAAGGTTACCATGTCTACTGATTAAAATATTAGGACGGGGGTTTAATAGGCAATAAAGTAATAAACTTTTTTTTTCGGTTTCTTTTAATAGTATTTTACCATTGACTACTACAAGAACTAATCAAATAACACTTTAAGAAACTAATTGACCTTCTTTAAAATATCACAAAATTCAAACATAACCGTTTCGACTATTTAATCGCCTTACCTAATTTAGAAACTTTTGGACTCATTTGCAAGTATTTTATAAGTTATTTTTTATTTGTATTGTTTTAACCATTCCATTTCACTACTTCAATCAAGGCGACACACAACGCTGGAAAATAAAAAACCTTAATTTGATTATTTACAAATCCATGAGACAGTATGAAAATTTCTAATAAAAAATACTAAAGTAATACTAGCTTGCAATTTAAGTATCAATTTTTCTAATTTTCTAACTCAAAGTAAAGACTAAGGAAGATCGGGATATTCCGCGAGAATCGGTACATCTGGTAACTGTACTTGAAACGAGCGCGGTAAGTACAAAGGTGGTCTTTGTTAACTGTTACACGCGCCGACAATCCACCTAACTTAGATTGATGAAAGTGACATAAAGGTCATTCAAAACACGTGTAATTGGTTCGAAGTATCACAACTGATAGTTTTGGATCTATGAAATTCTATTTTTATACTTTTATTTCTGAAGAATTTGTATACACTTATTGTGAATTAATACATGGAATTTTATACTGAAGCTAATAAATAAATTTTCAAAATATTCATTTTAAATAAGACCTGTAACATTTAGTTCACTTCTTGATTTATATTGGTTTGTAATTTTATTTTTCTTAAAAAAATTCCCTTAATTTAGGATAAAATTATCCTGTGTTGATATCCGTATCCCTATAGCCGTGATAGCTCAGTATCCGGGCACTCGCCTTTAATTCAATACACTCGAGCAACCTGAGTTCAATCCCCGGTGCCGGCACCAATGAGGTTTTTAACTTTAAGTGCTGACTTATCACGTGCTCCGCGGTGAAGGAAAACATCGTGAGGAAACCTGCATATTTTCGAAATAATAACAAAAAAATATTTCGAAGATATCTGAAGTCCGCCAATCCGCAGTGGGGCCCTTATACCCTCTGTATAGAGGCCTTTGCCCAGCAGTGGGATATGTATAGGCTGTTACTTTACTTTTTATCCTATGTTGTAAGGACATTTTACAAACATAAATTTCACGCAGACAAACACCCAGATGCGAAATAAATATCTGTGGGCCACATAAATAGTTGTCCCGTGTGGGAATCGACCCCAAGACGCCTGACGCCGAAGCCTTGTCAACTGCGCCACGTAGTCATTGAATTGTGAAACGAGTATTTTAAATCATATTTTCATTTTTGCTCACAAAAATAACAGCTACGATTTGTTTATAAAACCTACCAGTCGTCTGATCGAATGTCGTGGTTGTAACATGTAACCGTTACTTTACTATGCATAATATTTTTTGTATTAAAGGCTTCCTGCTCTAAAATAGTAGAATAAAGTATTGATTTGGTAAGACAATAATTATAAAAATCAATGAGACAAGACATTTATTATGTTTTAAAATTTTAGTCTACCTAATAATACAAAAAAATTTAAAAATATGACAATAATATTAAATATACGGCTTCCTTCCGTGAATTTATGCTAGCCAATGATCTTCAAAAAAGAAAGTCTATTTATGTAAGTACTAGAAATTTGGTCATAAACTAAAGTTAGTGTTTGGTTGATCGATTTCAGATAAAGATTACTTATAATATCATTGTCACAATAATTGTAATACATACAGTCTACGCTGTTGATAAAAATGCTCTTTTTATCAACAGCATAGACTATTTTATAAGTACATATTGAATGAAATCATTATCTTTTCATTAATCTATTTATATTATTATACCTTTACTAGCAACCCGCTCCGGCTTCGCACGGGTGCAATGTATTATACATAATTATAAACCTTCCTCTTGAATCACTCTAGCTAGTAAAAAAAACCGCGTCGAGATCCATTACGTAGTTTTAAAGATCTAAGCATACATAGGGACAGACAGACAGCGAGACGACTTTGTTTTATACTATGTAGTGATAGTGATTGATGGAATTCATTATTTTTTTATTAATCTATTCATATTATTATACTATAATCATAAACCTTCCTCTTGAATCACTCTATGTATTAAAAAAACCGCATCGAGATCCGTTGTGTAGTTTTAAAGATCTAAGCATACATAGGGACAGACGGACAGCGGGACCACCTTGTTTTATACTATGTAGTGATTACTGTATTTCGAATTTCATTTCGTATGATATTTCGAAGATTAATCAATCGAGCATTTTAAAACCCAAAACACTTTATAGAAAGAAAAACCCAATACATTAGTAAATTTTGACGACAGATCATTTTATAATTTAAATTTTTATCAATTTGGTTGTCCAGGTTTTTCGAATTGTTGAATTTAGATAATTTTTTTGATGTCACGGATATCAAAAAATACGGTCAAATTGATAAATAAAAATTATTGAATTAAAAATGTATTCACTCTTAATTTGTCTAATACAAATAGGCACAACACGTACTATTACCATTGTTAATTAAATAACTGATAACCGTAAATAGTCATAAGTCAATCTACAAGATGGCACTGTTTCATATTTAATAATTTTGGGCAAAAAAAAAATACGAAAAAATTTATACAAATTGACTTTACTATGTTCAATACAAATAAGTATTTAGACATAAAAATTAAAAAAAATAATAATTGTGGACTATATTTTTAAATAATTTGTAATTTTTTTTTGTTTTAAATGAAAGTATGGAGGTTCGCGCCAATATTTTTAATTGAACAATTAAAAGTTTTTGCGGAAAGTATTAAATAAATTAGCGTTCTTAACGCGACGCGTTGAGTCGATGTGAAAGACATCGACTCTCGGGCTCCGAGCTTGTTCGGTTGGTGGCAGCACGTGTAGTTATTTATCGCGCGCATTAACAAAAATTAAAAAACTCTGCTTGCAAAGAAATCATGAACTTTTTCTTTATTATGCGGAACCAAACAAATACCATTAACTTGATATTAGATGGATACCTTATTAAATGTCAATAAAAATTTTAGTCCATAATAACAGCTTAAACTTAATTTTCGGTACCTATTAAATTAATTGCATTAATTATTATTCAGTGTACAAAGCATTCTGAAAAAAGTAAAAAAAAGTAATTTCATGGATCCATAAGCATAACTATCATTTTATAGTTAGTTATGATTCTTCGATCTAATTACACGTGTTTTGAATGACCTTCTATTCAAATCCATCAGTCCACGTGGATGGTCGGCGTCAAACAAAGAACGCCTTTGTATTTACCGCACTCCCTAGAACTAGTGTTACCAGATGTACCGATCCGCGTGGAATATCCCGATATTCTGATGTTCGGTCATCCCGAATTTTTATAGACCTTAGTCTGTACTTTGTGCTACAATTTTGATAGGAAAAATAAACAAAACTGTAAGCTGCCATCACGTGAAAATAATTTTGCTCTGAAATTTTCACATTTTCTCATGAAGTTAGTAGTCTGCATAATAGTTAAAATAACTTAAGCTTAAAATAATACTTGAAAATGAGCCAAAAGCTCTAAATAGTAGATTATTTTTGTGGTATTTTAAAGAAGGTCAACTAGATTCTAAATGTTTTGTTTGATTTTTGTCTACTACAAATGAAAAATATCAATGGTAAAATACCATTAAAAGAATACCTGACCTTCCAGCAATAGTTAAATGTTGATTCACAAAAAGTTTTTGTTATAGCTATGCTGATTTGAAAATTAAATAGCCAATTATTTTCTCCCGTCCTGTAATATTACTCAGTAGACATGGTAACATTATTATGCGAGCGGCGAAATAGTCCTCAACAAACGTTTCTTATGTACTTAACGACATAAGCAGCCGAATGCCGCTTAGGTAGTCCAATACATAAAATATGCCGTCGCTTCGTTTGTGTTATTTAAACTTTTAATTAAATCACAATCAGTTACTTTTTAGACATTACGGTGTGAAGACAAGTTCGTGATTTTTATTTTTTATTCTCGATTAGTTATTGATGACAGAAATGCATATGCTAAGAAATTGCTTAATAATATTCGGTGTTGCGGAGAGAAATGTCGATTTACCTTGAAACTACATTATTGGTTTTTTCGATGACAGGCAGTCTTTGACGCCATAAGTATTAAGAAGAAACGCCAAAAGACAGCTAGCAAGAATGCTGAAATAAATTTAGAACAGCTGCCAGTTGTGTTAAAAAGGAGTTGGTAGGATCGGCCCTCGTCTGCATCCGCGCCCTATATGCGTCGTCCCCTTAACCCTTGACCTTGGTGTGTTTTAAGTTAGTGACAATGACTATCCCAAGTGCTGAAGTGCTATAACAGTGAAAGAATATTATCGCGTAATGGAACCGACCGACACCGATAAGCACGAGTTTTCTTAGTAAACGCTGATCTCATTGGAATGTCTAGGTATAGGTTATTTATTTAAAATAAAGATTTTATTTTTTAACTTTATAATTACATTGAACTTACTTAATTCGAAATTTATTTTTGTCATTATTATGTATTATGTATCCGCTATAACATGATAATGTATCTCACTGATGTTGTGTTGAATAAATTTATCGGCGTTGTAAGATTTGTGAGTAAGTGTAACCTTCTAAAATGTTTGTACCTTCCACTGCAAGCAATTTAATGTTTAATTCAAAATCTCAATACTAAAAAATTATAAGTTACAGTGGACATTGTGAATATGTTTGACCAACTATAGGATTCTATCATTAATTCCATGTAAAAAATGTTTTGAAAAATAAACGTAGTAAAAATAGTGTGTTTGTGTTTTATTTCCTTATAATGAATACCTATCTTTAATCAAAAGAAAAGTCAATAACATATTAAGTAGGGCTCATGGACTACCAGTATAGCTATTTCGTGTCTATCTGTTGTGATAAAATCCGATAAATTTAAATAAATTTTTATGATAAGCACGTTGTTTCATAGCATCGCCAGGACCTGCAGCGCGATGCGGTCGTTTGTCAGTTTGGTTGGCGAGGGGCGGGCGGAGGGGACCGATAAACTTGAGGAGCGGGAAGTGGGGTAATGACGTAACGAGGAGTGGAGGGAGAGGGGAATAAGTCGGGCGATCAGATGTATGCGTGTGTGAGTTTGGAGTGATAACACCGATGGGCGGTCAGTGACTTCTACAATCAGGGTTGTTACAGTTAATTAATTTTTTAATTTTTATCGTCAAAAAATGCTTAGATTCGTATTTTAAAATTATGCCATTTCATTCAAAGTCTGATATATATACACGGCTTTAAATGTTACAACATCTTTCTGTAACACCCTGTATATATATATATATATATATATATATATATATATATACCAATCTAATCGATAACCTCCTTACTTTTGAAGTCGTTTAATAAAAGTAGAATACCACTGGTACGGTATATGATGAACTAACTGGCATTCGCGTTTCAACAGTTACCAACCAGAGGCGTCGTCGGCTCTGCTGTGCGACGCCGGGACGCAAAGCTCCCACTGGAAACACCATGCTGCAGGCCGGTGTCATCGAGCAGGTAGGTTTATGAAACAATATGAACGTTTAAATAATTCGTTCACGATCTATATAATAAACCGTTGTATAAATAACTTGTAGAAATATCGATACCGATAATGAAGATAAAATAAAATCGTAGACATCGTAGAGATCATCGATAGATTAACAATAATGGTATATGGTATAATATAATATCCCGAACGTCTCATGTGTAATATTTTATAAAAAAAAAAAACAATAACATACGGTGCGCTCTTTAAGTGAAAACGTTCTTTCTTAAGGCGCGTTGATAGAAAACCACTGAAATCATAATCGTTCTTTACTACGATTAAACAAGCGCAATAAATGAATATATAATAATAATAATAATAATGAGAGCAGAATTTAATATATATATATATATATATATATATATATACTATATACTATAAATATAACAACAATGAATATGTATTATTATAAATATATAATAATCATATATATATATATATATATATATATATATATATATGTATGTATATATATTTTGTTATATACATAACACGTACAATATAATAATAATAATAATACGAGAAAAAGAAGAAAAAAAAAAAAAAAAAAAAAAAAAAAAAAAAACCGACGAGGCGGCTTCCACAGCGTGCGGAGACACATTCGCGCGATCGTACATACACATGGACCGAGCGGATTCGGTGCCGTCTGAGGATCCGTAATGAAACACAAGCACACCGTAAAGTGTGAAAACTCTTATATACGGTGTGTTGTGCTTCTTCCTCATGTTCAACTGTGACGAACGACATCTCCGTACTTCTAGATAGATTAATACGGGAAGAGAGGAGGTGTACGATGTGAAAGCGTTCGTTTATATTTTGTGGGCCGTTCGGCACGCGAGTCGACTTCGTCGTCGTCGTTAACGGTTTCCCAGAATAAAACATGCCTGTACTCCGTTCAGGCGGAGCACTGTGGTGTTATGATATAATATATCGCGGATATATTCGACGATCTCTCCAACACCGAGCAGATGTCGTCGTTCAATTTATATTACGAATGTAATAACGAATCAAATATATTTAAGTGAAGCATTTTATAAAGTCTCGCTGTTGAACGTTCAATGAATTGTTCGCCATGGGCGAACTTTTAACCGGTTGTGTTGTGTCCAAGCGCGCGCGCGCGCGCGTTCGACGATGATGCGGTGTGGTGTGTCTCTCCTGACTGACTGTGTATTACATAGTTGTTGGGATATATTATTACGCGTTATATATAGTTCGCGCGCGGCAAACGCGGGACCAACACTAATCGCACATACAAATAATACGGCACCGATGCGTCTTAGCGTTAACATAACGCTTTCGCGTCGAGTTGCTAGTGTCTCGGAGTGAGACGCGCCCGTGATGCGTAAAACGTGTCGCGTAGGCGAATACGTGTTAGCTCCCTGGTTGATCCTGCCAGTAGTTATATGCTTGTCTCAAAGATTAAGCCATGCATGTCTCAGTGCAGCCGTATTAAGGCGATACCGCGAATGGCTCAATATATCAGTTTTGGTTCCTTAGATCTTACCTCGGTTACTTGGATAACTGTGGTAATTCTAGAGCTAATACATGCAATCAGAACTCTGACCAGTGATGGGATGAGTGCTTTTATTAGATCAAAACCAATCGACGGAGGGCCTCGCGTCCGAAGTCGTTAATTTTGATGAATCTGGATAACTTTTGCCGATCGCATGGTCCAGCACCGGCGACGCATCTTTCAAATGTCTGCCTTATCAACTTTCGATGGTAGTTTCTGCGACTACCATGGTTGTCACGGGTAACGGGGAATCAGGGTTCGATTCCGGAGAGGGAGCCTGAGAAACGGCTACCACATCCA